AGAAAGACTTTTACACTGAGCATGGCTTGAGGGTGAGTAAATTATGGGGTAATTTTCATTTTTGGGTGAACCATTCCCTTAATGGTGGGTTCCAGAATGTTTTCTGAGGCTACTGGCCGACAGTGGAAACAGTATGATTTTGCTGTTGCTGATGGAGGTCTGATGATTTTGGCCCTGACCTGACAGTATAAAAGCGGCTAGTAGATCTGTCTGCGCCTCTTAGTCAGGTAGCATCTCACCTTCAAGGAGAGGTGACAGGATGGCTTGTCGAAAACAATTCCTGCTATGTCTATAATGGAAAATCTCAGCTGCTGGCTTCAACCCCTGAAGAGTACGGGTGGAACACTCAACTGTGAGATTAGCCACATTCACAGAAAAGGCCCGTTAAATTACAGTCAAAATTGCCTGATTACTTTTTCGATAAATGCACCACAGTTATTCACAAGCAATCTAGTATTCATATTGAAACCTGTGCACGTCAAAATATCATTACAAATCTAAGATGGCACTTGCTGGAAAAAGTATGTAAACAGGAGCATTATTCAGTGTGTGTCCAGATTTACAGCATTAGAGCAGATCATCGGCATCATATTTGCTGGTGTTTGCTAGATTTCTTGTGTTGTTTTGCAGTGAATACAGTCAGGAAAATAAGTATTGAACAGGTCACCATTTTCTCAGAAAACACATTTTTAAAAGTGCTGTTGACTTCAACTTTTCACCGGATGTTGATGGAAACCTAAAACATTCATAAATGCAAAGAAATCAAATTTAATTAGTTTACAAATGAACGTATGTGCAATAAAATGAAATGACACAGGGGAAAAGTATTGAACACATGAAGAAAGGGAGGTGTAGAAAGGCAGTGAAAGCCCAGACAGCAGCTGAAATCTCTCAGTAGTTATTCAGTAACCCTCTGCCCTTCATCAGCGTAAATTAATATCAGCTGCTTCAGTCCAACATCTAGATTAGCAGGATGATGAAGTGAAACCAGAGTGGACATTTCAGCAAGACAATGATCCAAAACACAGCCAAGGAAGCTCTCAAATGCTTTCAGAGCACTGACAGAACCGCATGGGATGTCATTCCCTCGCTGTAAATACTAGCTCTCCCAGTTTTTTCTGCCACCTCTCTGCACGCGCATCCTGAGGGCTCTATTTTGACGGTCCATGCGCAAAACGCAGTGCGCAAACGCTTTCAGGCCGTGTCAGGACGCGTTTTTGCTAATTTAAGGACGGGAAATCTGCCTTGCGCTTCGGCGCATGGTCTAAAAGGGTTGAGTTTATTTTCGTAATGAGTTATAGGTGTGTTTAGAGAATAAACCAATTAGAGTCTCATCTCCCATTCCCTTTAAGAGTCAGCTGCGTCGCGCCGAGAGCGCATTCGCTATTTACAGGACGCAAAGTAAGTCTAAGTGGAAAAATGAGCATTTCACAAGCAAACAGTTAACAGTTTTTTAACAGAAAACTGTTAAACAGAGCATCTACTGCGTGAGAATGAGAGATATTGGTTCACTTTCACTTTCGCTCTTGGATAGGGGAAACCTTTACGCACAGACATCAATTACTCTATAAATAAATACTTTTGTTTGTTAAGCGCAAATATTTGTTTCAAAACTATTTCTAAATTCAGTTCTAATTTCCAGCAAACGAATAAATGAACAATAATAACAAAATGTGCTCAAAAACCTGAGTTATATCCTAAAACACATGCTGTGCCCCATATGGTCTAAAACCTGACAGGTGGGCAAATCTAAGCTTGTTTTTAATAAAAAAAAATATAAATATGGATATATTAAATAATACTGCTAATAATAATAACATTATCCAAAAGCAAATTGTTATGAATGAACTGAAAAAGCCTCCCGAGATGAAGAAGACATAAAAGCAGTGTTTTTTTTATATTTAGGCTAGAAAATAATAAGTTTTGTAATATTTTAATCCTTTATATTTATATTCTATATCTATTCTTATTATATCCTATATATATCCTTAATATTTACATTTTTTCATATGTAAAGATATTTGCCTATTGCTCTCTTGTGCGTATTAAGCAGTGCGTAAGCTAGGCGCAACTCTGCGCCGGAGTTTAGACCGGGTTAGTTTTGGTCTAATGAAAAATCTATTATAGATTCTCAAAATAGCAACGCGCCAGCAGTCCGCCTCAGAACGCCTTCCTTTTTAGACCAGAACGCCTATGGGCGCACACATGAGCGCTAATACATTTGCTATTTAAACAGCGTAGCGCAACGCCTCAAAACGACTCTTGCGCCAAGCTTAAACTACCAAAAGACTACTGCGTCACGCCTTGCGCCACACTGCGCCGGGTGTATGACAGGGCCCTCAAAGTTACAAACATGGTAATTCGTCTATACCATTGATTTATAAGAAAACAAGTTTAAATGTACAGTATATGTGAGGTTTCTGCCCAGCAGCAATGGTCAACAGTTTAGCAAACTAAACATATAGTGTAGTTTTTAAGATTCTCAAATTGAAAACTTTCATTAAGATGTTGACATTTATACCAAGTAACACAACACATTTGACATTTAAACTAGTAACTAAGAAAATGAACATCTACATTGTGATCTTTTAGACTTAGATATGACATTTGGGATGTTTATAACAATCTCTAATAGCAATAATAATATACATTTTCAAGGTGTTTGTGGGACACTGAAAATTCTAAATAGATGTCACACTGGTTTATTATAATAAATCCAGTCAAATTACTGTGATAAAAAGGTCAGTAAATAGTCTGTCAGTAGTCACTTTGGCTCTAGTCTCAGCCTACTGAGAGCATGCCTGGCTGCTTCCGTGAGTCAGGATGAACAGCTTTTTCAAAATCAGTTCCTCCGAGGATAAAAACTTGAAGTGTTTGCCGCTGAATCTGTGCAAGAGCTTCAAATGTTTAGCTTGAGGCGCCTAAGCCTGCAAATAAAATAACACAATTGTCCTCAGGCACTCTCTGTTGATTTAGCTGTTTTTATTTGTTATGCTGATTCTTATTTCTTCTGTAGGGATAGAAGTTTTGAGACTGATTGATTATCTGTCTGTGGCTTTTGAGTTGCCTCATTTCAGTCGATCTGGAGTTTGAATGACTAAACACTAAGTATAAAATTCTATTTTCTTTTTGGTGATCAACCGAAAGCTGGAAACTCAAAAGCCACAGACAGATAATCAATCAGGCTTCAATAAGTCTATTTTTTGATTCCACATTAACATCAACAGTGTATTAAACAGGTGGCCATATTTGGTTCATTTACCAGCAGGTCCTTGGCCTAAAAAAGTTTGAAGACTTCCAAGAGTGGACCTTAAAAGATTTTTGTTCCTCTTTGCCAACTAAATCATAGCACCAGCATGTCTCAGCATGTTTTGATTTTTCATTCCTTTTCAGCCTCAGTCAGCTACTCATTTGACTCATCTCCTTCCTCGGCTCTTTTTAATTGATCTCTTCATATCAATGCAATCTAGGTTGTGCAGCATGAATGAGAACTTGGCAGCTTGTTCTGTTTGTTCCGCATCCATTATATTGACTTTCCTTTGCTTTGTCTGTGTGTATGAAATCCTTTCTTTTTTTTTGGCCGATACTCATCTCTCTGCAGACACCTGCTGGCATTTTGCTTGGACCTGGCAGACAGACTTTACTTTGGGAGAAACGCTTAATACTTTATTACCTGCGACTCGTTTGTGTTCTGACCACATGTGCTTGGCTGTACACTGTATCAATAAAGTGTTTAGACTTTTAAAAACACTGCTGTAACACACAGAGACGCTAAGCATCGTTCTTATGACGTTTTTCAACATAAGGGAAAACACAAAATACGTCCAAACACTTCAGTTATAGTCCGTGTTAGTAAATGCAAGGCTGTTGGTGAAATCCAGGCATAACACTCTGACAACTCTTTAGATGACTGTTCTAGAGCCTACAGCTTATCAATCTGTCAGATTGTGAAGGGCATTACAGCTGTAAATGACATTATAAATGATCTTAAGTCAGACAAAAACATTTAAGAGATGGTATATAAGTATATAATTTCACTCAACTGGGAAATGGAGGCCACGTGAATGGTTTGAGAGCACAATTAAGTGCACACAGCATCCCATATCATCTGATAATTGTAGAAATTAATCCCAAAAGGCAAGTGACTGTGTAAAGAAACATTAACCCAAATAAAAATACAATGTATATGCCGAGCTCAGCAGCTAATTAGCCGTAATCAGCTGAGGTGGCGAGCAGCGAGACCTAGGTGTCACTCAAGTGGCCACGCCCTTAATTATGCAAACTTAATATAACTTAATAAAAACGAAACGGATGAGTAATAAAAAAAAGTTCACCTCCCTCACCCTTTCTAACCTTCAGTTGTCATGAAGTTTAATCATGGTTATATGCACCAAAGCAATCTTTTGTACCAGGCTGTGAGCATGTTTTTATCAGCTGTAAAAATAGCCAAATTCCTATTGCAGTCAGAAATGACCTGGACTTCTTGGAGCCAGCCCCCCATGGAGAGTTGATGAATTGCCGTTTTAGTTACTTCCGTATTTGCTTCCCGAGGGAGAGAGGGAGGTTGCCGCTTGGTGTTTACCAAAGGATTTTTTTAAGCAGTGCGAGACGCAAAAAGCTTAAATATCATTTGCATTGCTCCAGTTTGTTCGGAAGAACACAGTTTGCTAACTTTAGATTCTAATTATATATTCATAGACTTGACTGTCTTTAGCCATAATACCCCCTCAGAACAATCATTTGCATTAAGAAGACAGCTCATTTGGTTGGGCATATGAATGGGCAGATGGTTGTCATGTATTTAGGCTGTTGCTTTGGATTAGCTTCATGGACAATTCAGTCTCTGTAATCTATGATCAGTTGGGTGACGTTTACATTGGTTTAAATGAAAGTGTGTGTTTTTTTCTGCCCAATCTGTTCTCGGACAAGAGGCATGGGGAAAGAGTCCAGTAAACTGTTCGTTTCTCACTTTAACTCTTTTTGTTCTCTTCTTTTCTCAGTTGACCAGATATATCATTTGGCCTCGCCTGCATCGCCACCGAACTACATGTACAATCCGATCAAGACACTAAAAACAAATACTATTGGTACTCTCAACATGCTAGGTAAGTATCACCCAGGAATGTACATTTTTTTCTTCCTTGACCTCAATTTCAGAACACAAATTGAGTGCAAAGTCAATGAAAAGTGCAGATTAAGTGTTATGGCTTTCTGCAGTGTGAGTTTGAGCTCTTTTACAGTTACATGAGGGAGCGGATGCAAATATTGATTAGATGTTCCATTTTCAACATGGTTGTTTCTTTCCTGTGTTCAACAATTAATCACTCAGTTATTTTCATACAGTTCTGCGCACTGCAAAATGGAGAATCAGTTTGTTGAACTAAAAACACTGATTTTAGGAAATTTCATTAAATGGCAGCCCAGAGTCCTGAACTTAACCTGATTGAAATTTGATGTAAAATTCTTGATAACAAAGTTATGGCCAAGAAGCCCACTAAAATCAGTTCTCTGCTGCGACCTTGGTTCATTAAAGTGTCTTCCATAGTTTACACTGTTAGATAAGTAATGCCATTTAGTGTTAATTACAAAGATTACATTATTTCTGAAAAAAATACAATAAAAAATCAAGTCTTTGTAAAAAAATATTGATGAATTTACTCTGAAACTGCATATCAGACGTCAACTACTGGGCAAAATATGTTTAAAATATCACTAAATGTTTATGGACAAAATCGAACATCATAATGACGTGTGGTGGTTTAATGATGTTTTCTGCAGTGTGAGTTTGAGCTCTTTTACAGTTACATGAGAGAGCGACTTCAAATATTGATTAGCTGTTCCATTGTTGACAAGTTGTTTATTTTCTCGTGTCCATCACTCAATCAGCCAGTAATTTTCATGCCAGATGATGATTTTTGCCCACTGCAAAATGGTGGAAGCAGTTGCTTTAACTGAAAACATTGATATCAGGAAATTTCATGAAATGGCAGCCCCAGAGTCCTGAACCTAACCTTATTGAAATCTAATGTAAAATCCTTGATAACAAAGTTATGGCTTAAAAACCTACTAAAATCTGTTCTCTGCTGTGATCTGTGATCACTTCCATAGTTCAGAGTGAGAGACTAGTAATGTCCTGTAATGTTAATTATACAGATTACATTATTCCTTAAAAAAATAAACAAAAAATCAAGTCTTTGTAAATAGTATTAATACATTTAATCTGATACTCCATATCAGGTGTTAACTATTGGGCAAAAAGTATTTATGGACAAAAATCAAATATTATAATGACGTATCATGGTTTGAGCTCTTGTACAATTACATGAGAGAGCGGCTGCAAAAATTATTAATTAATTTATTAATCATGCTGGATGATGCAAAATGGTGGAAACAATTCCTTTAACTGAAAACATTCATATCAGGAAATTTCATAAGATGGCAGCCCAAAGTCCTGATCGTAACCTGATTGAAATCTGAGGTAAAATCCTTGATGACACCGTTATGGCTAAGAAACCTACTGAAATCAGTTCTCTGCTGTGATCTTTGTCCACTACAGTTTCTAACATAGTTCAGAGTGAGATTTTAGTAGTGTCTTGTAATATTAATTATAAAAATTACATTATTTCTAAAAAAAAAAAAAAGAAAATAGAAAAATTAAGTCTTTGTAAAAAGTATTAATCTATTTAATCTGACACTGCTTACGAGGTGTTATCTTGTTTCTGAAAGTAAAGGAAGAAAATTGAGTTTGTATGTTGTATGTGCTTTGTTTGGATATTTTAATTTTATTTTGTCACATGCTCTTCAAATTACTGAGCCTAATTGAATTAATTAGGTCTGAAATTTTACCTCAGGATATATCACTGATGACCATCCAAGATGTGGTGTTAGCAATCTTTAATTAGAGTATGTTTACAAGGTACCAGCTAAACATTTTAACTGATCATGAGCAAGGATTAAGCTGAAACACAAACTAACAAGGCTATCCAGTACTCAGTAAATTACACCAGATGTGAAAAGACAGTGTAATTCTGTTTGATATTTTACCTGTCATTTTTGAAAAGGTTAGACTGTTTCCACTGTGCACTTTCTGCGAAATCTTCATTCCAATGTCCATCGTTTGCAAGAAGCAGTTGCAAATCTTCTTCTTCTTTTATCATTTCTCAGTCGACATGTTCCATCTCATGCCTGCAATTACATATAATTGCTTTTTTGGGTTATTATTAAGTCCATATGGAATCTGTTCCACAGAAATGCAGCGCCTGTCATTCATAAAATTCTTGTGTGTTTAGTTAAATATATTGATTTTGCATTAGACTTCCAAGTTGGAATACACTACTGAAATGTACTCCAAAATAAACTAGAAAAAGTATGTATACAGTACATATTGACTGCTGTTTTCAGCTGCCTGTTCCTTTTAATAAAGAATTATTATGGGAACAGATTATTGACTTTTGAATACTTTGTCTGTTTCACAATGGTATGTTCTCATTTACATTAGTGTACGGTTTGTAAGCTACTACATTTTGACATTTGTATATGACATTATCTGCTTTATATGTTTTTTTTTTTTTTTTTTTTTTTTTTTTTTACAAAATGATAAACTGTTTAACGCTTTTTACTTCTCAAGCTAACCTTGTGTCTCATTCTGCAGTTAGTTTAGTTTGGTTAAAATAGCCAGTTTGGTTTAGTTTAGACTTCATTTAATGTAGTTCTATTTTTACTTTTACCTTTATTTTATGATAAACTTGTATAGGTGTGTGTGTGTGTGTGTGTGTGTGTGTGTGTATATATATATATATGTATATATATATATATATATATATATATATATATATATATATATATATATATATATATATATATATATATATATACACACACACACACACACACACACACATATATATATATATATATATATATATATATATATATATATAAAATGACTTAATTTTATGTTTTGCAATAATTGTTAAGTAATAATGAATAATAATAAATGAATAATATAGCCTATATGCTCGTCGCGCAAGTTCATTATTAAAATATGTATGAAAAAAGCGATTCAAAAATATGCTAATTAAACGACGGTCTATAATAGGTTAGAACGAAATTTTTACAACCCTCTCCGTCAAATGAAAGGCAATGAGAAAGTCTAACGTGGCCTCTGCCACACACACACATACAGGCACGCACACACACAGACACTCACACACTGTCATGCGCTCGAGACAGTGGGTCCAGGCAGTCAGCGGGTCAGTAGCGGGTCAGTTTCACTTTCACACTTGTATTTAGCATTTTTAACAGATAAATCATTTGTTATGAATTAATAAATTATTCAGAATTAATACACCGCCGCCTGTGACGACGATGCCATTGTCCATCGCGATGTTTCATATGAGACATCGTACGATGCCACATTGGTCGACATCGCCCAACCCTAATGCACAGATTGCACTGTTGATCCTGAATGATATGTAGTCATTTATTTATTTTTTTGCAAACTTTCAGGGAAATTTATATCAAATATAAATTATAGATGCAGTTAATGGATTTTATTGTACATTCCGTGCATGTCCCATTGTAGCAGAATGGCCACCTGAATAGTTTTTCTCAGCCAGTCAAACCACTCAATCATAATAATGAGAATTTAACGCCTCAATTCAAGCGTTAAGCTGTGAAAGCAGTGCATTGTTGCACATCATTTTTTTCCTCATCTGATACACTGATATGGATGTCTTTGCTTTTTCACGCTGCAGCCTTTTTCTGATTGATGTCTGTTTGGTTGTTTGTGACTCACCCAATAGGAGCCATATTGATTGATGACTCAGTCTCTATCTGGTCAGATACAATTTAACAACTGATTTGCTCATCTTTCTCTCTGTCCACAGGATTGGCCAAGCGGGTTGGAGCGCGCCTGCTTCTTGCCTCCACGTCAGAAGTGTACGGAGGTATGTCTCCATTCATATGTTTTGTCAATATGACACTAAATATGCAAATACTCTTTGTATAGACCAGCTATCTTTCTTAAAATGCTTAGCTATGTTCTAAAGGGCTCTGTGTACTTAACTATCTAGTAAATTAACTTCATAAGGTGTTTTGTCATCAATCAATGGTGTCTGGAAGCCTTGCTCCTCCACTATTTAATTAATGCTAACAGTTTGTTTTTCTGTTTGTGTTTTTGCGGTTACACAAAAATGTAGGCTGAAGCATGTATTTCCAATGAGCCTGTGTTGGTTTCATCAGATATTTCTAGCCAGGCTGTATTAGCGTTATAGTTATATGGGTGTACCACTCCGCATTGAAATCAAAGGCTAGAAAAGAAAGTTAAGGCTTGCTTTTAGAGTGTATGAGACTGTCATTGGCAAGCTGTATGGATTTTCTTTTAGAATCTGAATTGTGGACAAAGGGATGTAGTTGAAGCTGCTTTTAGGACCACAGGAGAAATAATTGGTCCCTAAAGAAAGTAAAATTTTGTGGCCGTGAAATGGCAAGTCTGTTTGAACCAGAAGACCCAACGTGACCTCTTTCTTCCGCACCTTTTCTCACATCCTTCCAAGATTTATTTTTTACTGACCGAAGTGGAGATGCAATTAGGCATGGGCTGATAAAATAATTTATATCAAATCAAATCACTTTTATCGTCACATCATCAGCAGCACGTGTGCTATGATGAGTGAAAAGCTTGGGTGCTGACTCCAGACAGTACAAAACACAGATACAACGAAAGTGCAAAATATATATTCAGTGCAAATACAGCGACAATGTGAGATTGACAGCGATATGTACAATGAATAGGCGTCCACATAGTTGTAGGCAGTATTGTTTCAAGTATGGATTGGTTAAAGTGCAGTGGATGCTACATATTGATGGTGTGCAGTGAGGGGTATGGAAGAGTCTGTGTGTGGTGTGTTAAAGGGCCATGACACCCCCCACTTTCGGTTAAAGTCTACTTCAGAATTTTTTCAAAAGATGCATGATTAATGGGCGTGGAGCTCCGCGAGCATAGGGCAGGAGTGGGCGTGGCCAGCAGGGGAGAAGGGGAGCGAACAACTGTTGTTGTCAGTTAGCTCACAAATTGAGACAAACCGTGAGGAGACGCATGAGTTTATAGTTTTCAAAGTTAAATGCAAAAAAAAAAACAGTAATTTAATGCCCTGCTACATTTGTTATTCGTAATTTCATATACAGACAACCACAATTTATATCATTATAAAGATAATCGTGTTCATGTACACACTGTAAATGAGGACTTCTCCCTCAATCCCCGGGTCTGAATCATAGATCTAAATGCAGACTCAGTGCAGCAGGTCTCTTGCCCTGTCTATTTTAACCATTAGTCTTGCTGGTAATCTGGAGCATTTAGGCAAGCACAGCAGAACGGCGATGTGTCTGAATGTGAATGAACTCCTGATACAAGACAACATCCGCCATTTTCCAATTCTCGTGCTGCTCTCCCGACAAAAATGCTTGCATCACACACACAGCTTTGCTGTATGATCGGCCCTGACAGGATCGCGGGGAAAAACATGCAACAAACCCCGTGGATCATGGGAACAAACACATACGAGCCTTCATAAACGGCTACTGCGTGCCGTGGGTCCGTGTCTCACAGCTTGAGCTTGGCACTGGTCTGGCAGGTCTGCGTCTGCCTTGCCTTCGGAAACCACGTGCTCATGAATAATTAAGCAGCCGGCTCTTCTCATAGGATAAGAAAACTCCGCTTTGAATAATAATGAGAAACCGACGCGTCATCATTGCACTTGCAGTACTTCGATACGTCGCCGATTTTGATCCCGCCCCAAAAATTATTTTAAACCCCGAAACTGAAATTAGCTGACAAAAGCTCAAAATTATCCAGTTTTCCCCACAATTAAAGCTGACAGGTGCTCACATTGTCTTAACTGATTTTTTTTAGTTAGTTAGTTAGTCAGTTCAAGGATTATTCAATTCAATTCAATACAAATGTCAAATATTGAAGGATGTGATTTAATTGTAATGTAGTTCTCCTGACCCCATCTAAGCTTCAAAGGGCTCTTCATTTTAATTAGCATAAATTCCCATTCTCCAGTGTCCCATTCCCCAGTGTCTATATTCTTAATAAGCCAAGAACAATGAGCTGCATAAAAAACTCTTTAATAAAGAAGAGCAGTGTATTTGCGAACATAAATGAATGTGAGAACATACATCAGCCCATATGCAAGCCCTCTGCTATACTTCTGTTATTAATGGGTTTATGTAACTTGTGCATTTCAATATACTGTATGTATACCATCTTACAGCTGCGTCAACAACATATTATAGCTCACAATAACACCCAGTTATTATAATTTTTTTTTTTTTTTTTTGCATTGTGTCATTTCTGACAGGTTTATTTTAGATTGTTGCAGCGTTTGTATACTTTACTGACGTGTTCATTACCCATCTTGATTGTGACTCACAGCACTGTTATCACCGGGTTTCTGCCAAAGCTTTAGACTGTGCCCAGATTTTGTTTACCCTGATTATGGATATGATCTTTCCCCCTCATGCTTTGGAATTCATTTGTAAAATCTCCTCATTGATCCTTGTCAACACTACTCTACTTCCATTGTCAGTAAGCTCTGTCTAGCTGTTCAACTGTGGGATTTTAGCACCAATTAAAGTAACTATAACTGTAAAATGAAAATAATTGTTGTAGAATAGGAAAATCTACACTAACTGAACTAAATGCTGTCAGAATAATCGGTTAAGTTGACAGCTAATCAGAATCCACTTGGCTATTTAATGCAGCAGAGTACTTAGTTGCAGCATGTGTTTATAGTAAACTGAACAGTATTATTGGTTGGACTGGATGGTAATATAGTTATTTTATTATAGTACATTGTGCCCAGTTTGGCCCCTTTAAATACAAATTTATTGTGTTTGAGAAAATTTCGCAGTTGCCTCCTAATAATACAGTTGTATGCAAAAATTTAGGCCCCCCTCTGTGGCTGCATAATTATGTGTTCTTGCTTTTAACAGAAGATTACAGTAAAATGCCATTAGGTTTTTAGTGAAAGCTAGACAATGTCATGTTTTTCAGTCAGAAATATATAAGGGAGCATTACAGAGATGTGTGAAATTAAATTCAGACTGAAAAATAGGCTATGCAAAAGTTTGCGTGGATTTCAAAACTTTTAGTCACTTATTGCTGACTGATTACAACAAAAATTGATTTGAGTCACTCAGTGAACCTTAGCAATCTTTACAGAGGTGCAACCAATCATGAAAACAGACAATTACGATAGCTGATTGCTAGTTGAGCTTTTCCTTATTGTGAACCAGAAAGCAGCAACATGGGAACCTCAAAAGAACTTCCTAATGACTTAAAAACTAGGATAATTCACCAACATGAGTTGAAAGAAGGATGCAAAAAGCTCTCAAAGAGCTTTAAAGTCTCTATCTACACAGTCAGAACTATAGTAAGAAAATGGAAGGCTACAGGAACAGTTCTGGTAAAGGAAAGCTGTGATAAACCTAGAAAAACATCCTAAAGGCAAAAGCAAAGAATGATTAGAATGGTCACAGACAAACCAAAGACCACCTATAAAAGAGCTCCAGGAACATCTTGCTGCTAATATTGTCATTGTGCATCATCCCACAATTTAGCACACTCTTTACAAAGAACAGCTCAATTGAAGGTGATGCAGAAGAAGCCTTTTCTGTGTTCTGCCAACATGATGAGTCATTTGTGGCATGCTAAGGTTCATCTGGACAAGCCAGAATTATTTTGAAAAAATATACTGTGGAAAGATGCCACAACCACGGGCACGTTACATGGCAGAATAAGAACACAACATTACAGGAGAAGAACCTGCTCCCTACTGTAGAATATGGTGGAGGGTCCATCATGCTGTGCGGATGTGTGGCAAGCACAGAGTTAAAGGGCCATGACACCTTTTCCCTCAATCCCCGGGTATGAATGCAGACTCAGTGCAGCAGGTCTCTTGCCCTGTCTATAACCTTTAGCCCTGCTGGTAATCTTGAGAATTTAGGCAAACACAGCAGCACAGCGATGTGTCTAAATGTGAACGAACTCCTGATAAAAGGCAAAGTCCGCCATTATCCAATTCTCGTACTGCTCTCTGGACAAAAATGCTTGCTGCATTTAAAACAGCTTTGCTGTATTGGCCCTGAAAGCAATTGCGGGGAAAACATGCAACAAACCCCGTGGATCATGGAAACAAAAACATACGACCCTTCATTAACAGCTAAATACTCCGTGCCATGGGTCAGTGGATGCGGTCTCACCCAATCATTTATGTAGGATCTCACTGCTTGGCACTGGCAGGTCTGATAAGATAAGAAAACTCCGCTATGAATAATAATAGGAAACCGACGCGTCATCTTTGCACTTGCAGTTCTGTGCTACATCGCCGATTTTGATCCGCCCCTAAAATTATTATAAACCCGAAAGCTAAAATTAGCTGACAAAAGTTCCAAATTATGCAGTTTTCCCCACAATTAAAGCTAACAGGTGCTAACATTGTCTTAACTGATGCTCAACACACACAAATCAAAACAAAAAAAATCTCGAAAAAAGTACTCAAGGGTTTTGTGACCCTTTAAAGGTTGCATGGATTCCACCCATTATCAGCGGATTCTCAAGAACAATGTTCAGAAATCAGTCAAGAGGCTGAAGTTACGGCAGGGTTGGATGTTTCAGCAGGACAATGATCCAAAGCACAGTTCCAGATCTACCAAGGAATTGCTCAGACATGATACAATGGTCTAGAAAGGCCATCCCAGTCCCCAGACTTTAACATCATTGAAAATCTATAGATTGATTTTAAAAGGGGCATTCATTCTTGGCACCCATTAAACCTGACTGAAGTGTATAAATTTTGCAAAGATTAGTGGTCCAAAATGACTTCAGCATGAATTCAGAGACTTATCCTTGACTATATGAAGTGTCTACAGGCTTGCAATTGACACAGCAAAAGGTGGCTGTACAAAAGATTGATGTCATTATTCTGTTGGGTTGCACCTGTCTGTTTTTGTTATGACTTAAATTGCATTGCAGCTGTTGGTTAAATAAATGTTATGTCAGAACTGAAATGTTTATTTCCCTAGAGTATAAAATATATCCAAATTAAATTGCTCATTTGAAAGGCTAGCAGGCTATAGCTTGCATTTATAAAAAAAAAGAGGAAAATAGGGGAGATCAAACTTTTGCATAAGACTGTAGATCTTGATTTATCTTGGCTCCTGATCATCATAGCTCAGACTACATGGTTTTTGCTACATTCATTCTCACATGGCGGGGCGCCACGGCAAAATTCATCCCACCACGGCTACATTACAGCTTCTCATTCAAAATGTTTTATTTTTTTAATAGTGGGTAATAATCACAACAAAACGTATTAAAGGGTAAGTCAATTATAACAGCGCAAACTTTTAGTTAACCGTATTAGTGCTGTGCGTCCTTTGTTTAACCCTAAGGTTACGTGCTGACTGACTGACTGACTGACTGACTGACTGACAGGCGCGTGATGCGTGAGGCCAGCAAACACGAACAATAGCCATATCACTTTACTTCAGGACAAATTAACATAGCTCTAGGTTTATTAGGGAGATATTCATAAATATTCCTAGCAAATCTAATAAATGCTGGAGACATACTCGTTGCATAAACGCACTAAATCGCACTTCAGCAGCATTTATTTGACAGCGCACAAGATCTGCGCGCTCTTGAAGCGACTTATATTTGAGGGGGCATGCAGAAAGTTTTGTGCACGAGCAGAGGAAATCGGCGCGCAAGCAAAGAGATCCGCATGCTGTAGGCTATTACATAAATGCGATCTCGACTTCTAATACTACGTTCAAGACATTTGTCATTGAAATGACGCCACAGGTAGATCTGTGTAAAAAAAAAAAAAAAAAAAAAGGCCTGCCGCCATCACTGGAAAAAAATCCTAGAGTAAACACTGGACTATATCCCCATGAACTACAGGATGCAAATCTCAAGCATAGGACACACAAAAGTGCAAATAATCAGGACGTTTCCGAGTCGCCAACTGATTAATTGAATTCCAGAGCATGTCCAGGAAATAAGTATGTCACAAATTTTGATGGTCTGCCTGGAAACAAAGCCATCATAGCACCAAAGCCCCTCGTGGAAGATGAAAGTCATCATTTGTACAACTGTGCTAACAATACTCATCAGATTGAAAACTCTTTAAAAGACATCCAAAAAATGTAGCTTAAGACACAAACTAAAACACATATGTTGATATACATTGCGATCCATTCTTGAGGTGTAGCTAATCCTGCGCAGCACACACATCGAGCTCCGCCAAGCCTCAAGCTTCTGCATGCAGTTTGTTTGTCTGCATTGCTGACAGAGTATTTAAAGATGTTTCTATATTATGATGACAAAATGTAAGATCGCGCCCGGCCATCTTCCCTCCATATAATTTTTGTGTGTGAGTTATCTTTGCATGACATTGCAGCCTATCTTTATCAATGAAAAAGGAGTTCAAACAAACATCTACATATGAAAAGTGACACTGGTGTATTTAACAAATGCTAGGGTGCATGGTTTCTGAGTGATAAACAGCACTACACTAACAAACACTGCTCTGCATGTAAGGGATGATGATCGGATTCTAAACAGAAGTGAACCGAAGCAAGTGTTTGATAGTAATAACTGAACAAATTGTAGCTATAGCTATTAAATCTAGCTTTATATTACCCAAGGTCATAAAGCAATCTATTGAAAAATGTTTTGCATGTACAAGCACTCTTTCTGGGACATTTTCCCCATATATAAAACCAATCCATTTTGCTGTTGCCTCTTCTTAAGCTGGTATTCTGTGCAAGAGCACATTTCCGTCTCTAATGTTGAATGGAATTCTTTTTACAGTCAGCAACCTCTTATTTGTTTGACCCTAATGTTTTTCCCCCCTCTAAGTGGTACAGCTATTCTACAAGAGCTTAGTGTCGCATATGATGGCCCTCAGGAATTCACATAACCACAATTGTATGTTCCTCTAATTTTGTTGTCTCAGACTTTCAGCCACATACAGGGACTGAAAGCTGCACAGTGTACGAGTTCCCTCAGAAATAGCACAGCTCTGTACAGCCATCATATCTAATGGACTGTTTCAAAGCATTCACTATATGTGTTAGTTTGACATGGTCTAAGTGATTTTGACAGTAGTAATCTTTAAAATGCACTGCAAGAAATAAAAGTTTAGAAAGAAATTTGCGCTGAGGCCAGTTGACAGTGAAGCTGCATGTTGTGGAGGGAGCTTCTGGTGAACATTTTCATTCCTCTAAGAGTTTTATGAAACAATTATAATGGAATATTATAGCCATATAAATCATTGTTCTATGGATACTTTTAGTTTAAAATTTGGACGTTTGGTTGAGTAATAATCTAATGGGAAGTTTCCACTAAGCAGTACAGTACGGTACCGTATGCTTTTGTGTTTGTTTTTGCTGTCAAAAGGTACCAAAAAACGAACCGCACCATACAACTTTTTGGGTACCCTTTCCAAAGCGTACCTATCACAACAAAAGGGTACCAAAAAGTGGAGCTAGATGTGCGGCTGAACGCTATTAAATTACACAGAAATGTCACTAGTGCATGCACAATCCAGGAGAATGAAAACAGGTTAAAACACACTCGTGTTATTACGTTATAATAATATATACATATAATAACAAGCCATGGTCAACCCAAGCTCAAACCAACCTTGTTGTCATCTTGATGAACAGCCTTGACACACTTGTTCGGTGAAATTCCTCTACTGAAGACATCTACATGCCAATATTGGGTCACAGTCATAGCGCCACCTGCTGACAGAAGGATTTTTGGCATAAATCTATGATTTTTCTCTGTTTTATATATATATATATATATATATATATATATATATATATATATATATATATATGCAAGGTCCCTTTCATCGCTGCTTGCAGCTTTAAAAAAAAAAAACTCTTCAGCTTTAAATTTCTCATTTAGTTTTTTTTATTTTATTCTGTGATTTAGATTAGTTGTAATTCATATTATATGCTTTTAAAACTGCTCTTTAATATAACTTTAGTTAAGACTAAGCAATGATATGACGTATACTGGACAGTCTCATGTTTTACCAAATGCAATATTTGTGTTCAAAATGATCCATAGTGGGTTGTGTATCGAATATATTTCTATGATTTTGCATTCATATAGACCCAGAGGTGCACCCCCAAAATGAGGACTACTGGGGTCACGTGAATCCAATTGGTCCCCGGGCCTGTTATGATGAAGGAAAGCGTGTTGCTGAGACTATGTGTTATGCCTACATGAAACAGGTAAGAGTGAAAATCACCCATGAACATATTGATGCATTTCACTGTGCAGCTGTTGGATTTTTGAACGGTGTAGTAAGGTTCATACATGGGAGCTCAAGGCCCGAACCCAATTCTATTTTTTACCCCTACCCCATGTCCCTTAAAAAAGAGTGTGAAGGCAAAGGGCTTCAAATTTACTCCTAAAAAATGGGACACCACTACAAAAGCCACAGACATCATCTTATGCCGTTGCGAGCTCTTACATCATACGAGATTGACAATGGTGCCTGCTGTAGTTATTTCAGTTGTGTGGCTTACAGTTATTTTTTGGTATTTTTCTTTAGGAAATTGCAGAAGGCTACGATATCATGTTATCATAACAATAAAATGTGACAATAAGCATGTAACTGTATTGTGTATATACAGTGGCCATATTAATCTATGTAAACACATTAAAACAATGTTAATTAAGGGCTGTGTGCTCCACCTCAGTCCTATATCATCAAGCTAAAGAAAATTGGGATACCCAATAAGGTAAGTGGAAGGGCTAAGGGGTAGAATTAGGACTGGGCCTGATGCTGAGTTCAGACTGCACGATTTTAAAAGTAGTGGCATCACAGATGTTTTTACACTACATCTCACAACCAAACACATGCGAGAAGTGACATGGAAACAACACAAGGTATACATACAGTAAGTAACCTTGTATATCTTTTGTTATTGACTAGAAAATGAACTTAATTTGCTTATCTGGTTTTTGAAGAGAATTTGCTTTTTTTCTATAACTTTATTTTTTTAATTAATACATTTTTTTTTTTTTGAGCCAGTTGTGATATTGCCCAGATGATGCATCAAACAGACACGGGTACTCCTGCCAAATTTCCACTAGCTTTTTCTCAATTTCTTGGGTTGAAATAGACCAAAAAGAAGCCCTTTTAACTTCTTACCCAATCTCCCGCTGGCCTGCAGATACTCGTACTATTGGATGCTGCTCTCGATGTAATTTTTCAGCAGAACACATTTCACATGGCATGATTTTGAATCACCAACAGGTACAGATATTTAGCATGCCAAATACTGTATCTCACAGGTGACTGCGACTCATCTGCGATTCTCTCAGACCTTGTCTTTAATAGTTCACTCTTCAAGATTGTTACCCACATGAACGAGCAAAGTCATAGTCATGCAGTATGAACTCAGCATAGGTTAAAAAAATCTACCCTTACATACTTTTTCCAGTCTATTTTATGTTCTTTGCTGTTGCTTTCTTGTCTAAGTGACAGACCTTATAAAAGGAAAACTTTCTGTACTTCAGTAAGTGGCAAATGTAGCAACCTCACAGCAGCACAGCTTTCATCAGAAATTGAATGCAAGACAGAAATAGTGAGCAAACTATTATCTTCACTTTGACTGAACAGAGTCTGAACATGCCTACTTTATTCTCTATATTAGGAATATTACCCCATACCATTCAGATATCTGAAATCATAACATTCATAAAACACTACAGTAGGCTAAAAGCATGCTGTAGAAATGTTCTACACATTCAATGTTTTTTTTTTTTACCCTTTTTTTTTTTTTGCAAACAAAATCACTGAGTATTCCATTGTCAAGAGTGGAAAATAACCAGCATCTCTTGCAAGCAAAGCTAAAGTTTTAACAAAACTATATTTTAATGGAACGAATATTTTCAGTGTTTTAAAAAAATTGAGTGGCGACTAATTATCGTCATTGACTTAAAGGGTCATGAAACCCCCCTCTTTCACTTCAAGTCTACATCAATTTTTTTTAAAGAATGCTTCATGATGGGCATGGAGCTCTGCGAGCAGAAGCAGGAATGGGCGTGGCCAGCAGAGCAGTGGAAAATAGAGGAGCGAACATCAATCAGTTGGCTCACAAAATGAGATGCAAACCATGGGACCCATGATTTTATAGTTTACAAAGTTAAAATGCAAAGTAATGAGCAGTAAGTAATTTAATGCCCTGCTGCATTTGTTATTTGTAATTTCATATACTCAACCACAATTTGTTATATCATCATAAAGATAATCATGTGTATATAAACACTGTAAAAGAGGACTTCTGTCCTGCTCAGTCCCCGTGTCTGGATGCAGACACAGTGGATGGCAGTGCAGCAGGTCTCTTGCCCTATCTATTTTAACCAGTAGACCTGCTGGTAATCTGGAGGATTTTAAACATAGGCAAACATGGCAATGTGTCTGAATGGTAACGAACTCAACTGATAAAAGACAAAGTCTGCAATTCGCCAATACTTGTACATAGGGCTGTGCAATTTATCGAAAATTCAGTTTTGTTGTTGTTTGGTCCGAGCGATTCGAAGCATTCAAGGAGTGGCATAAAAAAGAGAGTCTTCAGTAATGCAGTATGACCATTGGACCTTCAGAGGCTTTGTACTGAGTGTGGTTACATCACATTTTGACAATGCTGATTTGTCAAAAGAAATCAACGTGGTTTGAGTCTTTAGACAAATCGGATGTGGTTGTTGATGCATTTTCCCACCTCCAAGCCTCAATTGGTTCATACTGTTCTATACTTGACCAATAGACATAGTTTTTGTTTTGCAAATCATCAGTCAACATGTTTTTGTAAAATTTGGACAATCGCAGAGTGAAACATATGCCCATGCAAAACATTAGGTTTTCCTGTTTAAAATAATACAGTCAGCATTATTAGCCCTCATGTCTATTTTTTTTCGTATCTTTTACAAATATTTCTCAACAGATGTTTAATAGAGCAAATACATACGCTTATGCTCCGTTCACAACAGACGCGGAACACGCATCAAGCTTGAGTGATATCATGTTAAGTCAATGCAAAAGCGCGAATAGACATCCTGCAGAGTGATATGCATGAATGGCGCGGAGCTAATGACGCGAAATGTGCAAATGGCGTGGTGCGAATGGCGCGGTGCGAGTTGAGCGTTTTACGCGTTTCACGGGAATCAGTCGAGTTCGAAAATCTGAACTTCAGCGGACATTCGTGCTGTGTTAACCAATCAGGAGCTTGCTCTAGTGGGGGCGTAATTAAGACATATCGCCTGTTGTAGGTGTGCTCCAGCCGACATCGACAAAAAGTTCATTTTGTCAGCAGACACCGACAAAAAGTTCATCAAACTGGGCTCGGCTCAGTCAGAAGCAATGCTGAAAGCCTCCGTCATCCAGGTACAGTTTCTGGAGAAGTTTATGTGCTCACAGAGCTGGATGCACCTCTGAAAGAATCTAGTGGACTCAGAAACGGCCCTAAGCGTATCAACGCTGTTTTTCAGCATTCATAAAGCACATAAACACTGTTATTTTCTTTATAAAATCCATTTAGCAACGAAGCTAGAGTCACCGGGCAGACAGAAGCACTGCCCTTCATGCGAATCCGCGTCTATTCTTAAGTGAATTTGACGCGCGAATGAAGCGAGTAAAATCATGTACACGCTGCTATTTATGCGCAAATTGTGCGTTTTATCCGCGCGTCCCCGCGTCTGGTGTAAACACAGCATTACACATACACATTCTTTTTTGAATAGTCTGGCTTGAATAAAAACTGAAAAAAAGCTAGCTTAATAGTCAATATTATTAGCCCCCCTAAGAAATATATTTATATAAGTGCAAATAAAGCTGAATACTAGTATCTTGAAAATAACAAAATAAACCTAAATTAGTAATTGGAAACTGGTTATTAAAACTATTATGTTTAAAAAAGGTTTTCTTTAAGTTAAATAGCACTTGTGAAATATTTAAAAAATAAGTTCCACAGCAGGGCTAGTAATGTAGTCTTTAACAGTATATGACACTTATTACATTTAAAATAAGAATAAGAGTGCTTAAAAAATGCAGGCCAGTCCTGTACAAAATAGCTGTAGGTCTCTAAGGGTTAAACTTGGATAGCGGTTTATATAGTGCGAGCTTCTGGTTCCATGTTAGCTGGTGAAATAGTAACTCTGTCCACTGCCTCGGGTTGTGTTCGTGTTAGTTTGTTCAGTTCCCATTTGAATTGATAAAATGCAAAGCACAAGTTCCACTTAGTGAAGCTTTATTTTACTTTCCTGTGAACTTTCATTATTCTCTCATTGGACATTGGACATATTCATACATTTAAACATGCACGGTCAGTTCAGAGATGAATTAAATAAACATAATGCAATATTTAAATCCAAAACCCCAAAAGATGCAATTTACATGTGCATGCAGAACCGTGGAGGTTGTATCAAATGATTCAATATTATATTTAGTATTGTGGCATGCTATACATATATTCATAATTACATGCTAATTACAGCCTAATGGAGTCTACTGGGCCATCTGTTAAGCTCTGTGGCATTGCGTAAAGGTTAATAATATTTTGTTCAGTTTGGTTTTTAAATCATGATGTTCATCTGGTTTGTCTGACAGCTTCATTGTTGAGCATTGTGATATGATTGATTGGCATCAGCCTTTAGTGCAGCTGATTTTATCTGTTTTTCTTCACTTCATGTCATTCTCATATTCCCTGTTCCGTCAATGCACACATTGCCGCTCTACACGTCGCCACCGGAGAAATGCTCCCTCACAAGTTTGATTTGAATACCATCATTGATGTGCCATCTGGCATTTACATTCAAAATGAAATTCAATGACATTTGAGAAAGATAAATCTGTTTGAGCATGGAGAGGAGAAAAAAAGTACTGTATGTTTGGTTTAAAAGGGTCATTTGTTTCCGTTTACCACTCTTTATGTACTTTCAGGGTAAGCTATTACTTTTGTTTGCTTGTTTTCGCATAAAACACAGCTTAAAGGCATATTTCACTCAAAAATGAAAGATTGTCATCTTTTACTTACCCTCATGTCAAACCTGTTGGGAGATATTTTAAGAAAAAAGTAATTTTGTACCCAGAAATATACTATCTGTCACGGTTTGTGTAGAGGAAAGGGGCGAGGACTCAAGTGCTGAACTAAATGTGTTTTTATTAATAGTAAAAATAAACAGCAAAATAAACTACCCTGAGGGGGCATTAATAAAACAAATAAAC